TGATTTACGGCCTAGACCGCGGCCGACCACATCGGATTGGTCCGTGATAAGATTCAAAATGGCTGGAAAATAGGTCATATTTGGCTCTTTTTCTGGCTCCTATGATCCACGGCGGCCTGGACCGCGGTCGACCGATACATATTCCTAATATGTCGAAACAGAACTAGACCAAACCAGAAGAGACTCTTTTTGGGTCATAATGACTCATATGTTCACAGGGCTTGTTGTACACAGACAACCTCTTCTATAAATGATTGGAAGAGAGAGACGAGACGCAGAGAGACAGAGAAGAAGAAAGAAGAAAAGTAAAGTATAAAAATAGTGGCCTTCTCCCTGTTTGGGTATTTGTGTCTGTTATCTTGAATTTTCCAATATTTGCTCAAAAAAGAGCTCCGGAGGTTTTTTTTCGCCGTATTTAAAGTTAGTCACCCCCCAACCTACGCCTATAAAATTGAAATTTCTAGGCGTTTTCCTCGAACTTTTGGCCAATTTTTGGCTCATAATGTTTGGGACTCATTTTGGACCATTTTCCCAAGTTTGGAGACATTTTTGCGTTCCAAAATTGTCCGAAAAGAGCTGCAAATCTGGCTGAAATAGTAGTCGCGAATTTGAAGCAATTTTTCTGCTGATCTGAAATGATGCGAAAGTTCTGAAAATTCGGTTGAAACGAATTTTCACATTTTCCCAATTTCTAAGCCGTGTTCGCCCGTTCAAAATGGACCAAAACTGGCCGACAGTTTTTCACAGAGTTTCAGCTTTTTCTCGGGTGAGAAATGTGACCCTAAATAGCTCTAAACTTGTCTGAAATTGATTGGAATGCTGAAATTGGAAATTTTGGGCTCCCAAAGTCACCACTTTTGGCGCCAAAAAACCGCCCAAAATGCAGTTTGGTCCTACCGATTCCAGTTTGGCCAATTTTAGCATTTTTGGAATGCTGGGATTCGATATTTTGAGCTGCAGAGAGTTTTGCTTCAAAATTTGACTTCGAGTTCACTTTTGGTGCCAAAAACCTGCTTAAAATGCTGAATTTCCTCATTTTTCGCAAAAAATTTCGACCTTTCAATGCGGCCGAAATGGTCCAAAATTGTCGAAAAACGAATCAGATTTTTGGCAACATTTTTTGATCCAAAAAAGCTGAAAATTTGGCTGAAACGAATTGTGAGCTACTTTAGCCCTTTTCAGCTAAACCTAGAGCTCAAATCTCCAAAGATTTTCAGAGCTAAAAGTGGCGAATTTCGTCGAAATTCAAAAATCCAAAGGATGCCGAGAATCCATTCAAATCTCTCTTTCTCACAATATTAATATGATGACTTAGCCCATTCATCGTCGTCGGGCAATGAGGCAACGATAACAATCTCGCGGCTATTCTCTTTTTCTTCGGAAAGTCATCAAATTTCGAGGAAGATGATGATGATGATGAGAAGAAGACGTCGGAAGAGAGAGAGGAGATCCATCATTTTTCAATTATGCTGTGTGTTCTTAGATTCAGCATTGAGGATCGAAAAGATGAAGGAGATTATATGGGAATATTCCCTAATTTTCTCAATTTTTCGGATACTTTTTGAGACCGAAATTACAAATTCATAGTTTGGCTGAAATGCACATTTTATCCGCTTTCAGCGCCTAGAACTTGCTGAGAATCGTTCTAGAACAATTATGGAGTAGTTAGGCTGAAAATGAAGCTGAAAACGCTCAAAACTGGCTGACAATTGTTCTAGACAGTTGTAGAACCTTCTAGAACTGTTCTAGAGTAGATTTTCAGCGATTTTCAATGCTAAACTGCCTAACACTAGCTGGAAATTGTTCTAGACAGCCTTTGAACCATCTAGAACACTGTCCTGGAGTAGTTAAGATGAAAATGAAGCAAAAATCACTCTAGACAGTCATAGAACCTTCTAGAACGGTCCGGATGACTCGTAGATCATAAGAGTTTGATCTATCTGGGAGATTCCCAGGAATTTTAAAATTTTCCAAAATTTTTAAATTCCTCTTCTATCTCTCCGCCTCGTCCACCTTTCTTCTCATTCTTCCCAATAATTTTATGCCATCTGGATGACATACGCCAGTCTCCAGTCCCCCCTCTCTCCTCTTCGCTCCAAGGTGTTTCCTTTCTGGCATTCTTTCTTTCTCTCTCTCTCTCTCGCGCACTCTGCGTCTCTTCGAATGCCACACTCTCTCTCACTCTCTCCATCGGCGCTGTCCACAAGGATTGTCGTTTCGAAGCGAAGAAGAGGAAGAAGAACTGTTTGAATTTCGACTTTTCCCTCCATCATTTTTTTTTCATTTTTTCGTTTACGGGTGGTTTCCGATAAGAAAAATGCAGCTTACTAGACGTTTTTTTTTTTTTTCTGAGAAAAGCTGGAATTTTTTGGCTGAAACTAGCCTGAAAACTAGCCAAAATGAATCTAGAAGATTCTAGTCGTGTTTTGTTGGTTTTGGACCATTTTCAGCCAAGTTTAGACTATTCTAGAAGCGATTTTAAGCAATTTTAGGACTTGTAGTTTGATTTTCAACCGATTGGGACTCTCCTAGATCGTTTCCTAACCGATTTTTGGGCTATTTTGGATCATTTTTAATCTCGAACCCCCCCCCCTAACAAGATGATTTTTCCATCCGATTCCGATATGATTCCAATGGGACGGAGAAGAGAATCATATGATATTTAGAATGGGGGGGGGGGGGGGTTTAGGTTTCCGATTCCTCTTCCTTCCTTTTCTCCGGTTGTTGTGTGTGCAAAAAGTGTTAGCAAAAGGAGCATCTTTTTATAGACGAAAAAAACCGTCCAACCGGACGGATCGAATTCTGTGTTTTGATTCGATTTTCATCGGTCTTTTTTGGACCAGAAAACCTATTTTGGCATTCTTGCACATAAGATGGACCACAGGAATAGGACACACATCAGGTTGTTCCTGAGATAGGCGATCCAAAAATTCGGGTCCACATATGCGAAAGATATCGTAGTCAGAAATCCGATGTCGATGTGGTTTTATCAATTTAGACACGGAAGAATTCTGGATTCTAATGGTCCCCGAGTTTCTAGGACCTCTGGGAGCTGCTCATCCGAGGAGATGAGCCCAGAAGCTCGCTGTCTTTAGTTAGACATTGCATGCTCTGATTCTGAAGGTCCGAGAGGCTATTTTGCTAGAAAACTGTCAGGAAAATGGACCAAAAATGAGTGTGGCCGACCTAGTATTGGTCTACTAGACTACCAGTAGCCGATGTGAACAGAAACAGTTCGAATTTCTCGACGTTGAAGTCCAGGATAATGGTCCAGAACCGCGGAAAAGTTTCGACTGACCGAGTTTTCATAAACCCACAAAAAAAACAAGAGAAAAGTGGCGAGAAGGAGAAGGAGGAAATGGTAATTAGCGTCGAATCGACCCCTCGAATCATTGAAATGGATTTGGGAAAGTTGTCTCCGAGATTACCTTCTCTTCTCTTCCGAATCTCTCTTGGTTACCCTATGAACGCTTGAAAATCCATGGAATTTCAGTGAAATTTGTGGCTATTTTAAGCATTTTCAAGCCAATTTTGGTTTTGTGAACTTTAAAGGAGGCGAGACAGCAAAAATTTCGGGGGACTAAATCGCGCCGCGCTTATGTAGGCCATCGGTCGTCAGGCGCCTTCGCGCCCCCGTAGCTCAGCCGGTAGCGGCGCTGTACCCCTAAGCTGCCTGTCATGAGTTCAACCCCTCATGGGGGTTCTCTATGCAAAATATCAGGAAAACTTTTTTTTCTGGTGTCTGGCCTCCTTTAAGCTCTAGAAACGTAGCTCAAAATCTATGGATTTTAAGCTAGATTTTCTTGGCGACTTTTTGGCTGAAAATGCCAATTTTTCAGCCCAATTTTCAGCTCCCTTGCTCCCTTAAGAGGCATTTCCAGGGCGTTGTACTGATACTACGTCACTTCCAAACATTTTTATTATCATTTTGGCCCGCTTATCAGTCATTTTAACAGTCCTCCCCAATACAACACAACTATACTCTAAACAACTCGGAAAATGTCATTTTTATGGTGGTACTTCAAACATTTCTCCCGTTTTGTGCGATTTTTGCAATTTGGCAATTTCCAAGGCGAAAATTATCGAAATTTGACTGAAAAATTCGTTTTTGCCGATTTTTCTGCCCGAAAATTGTCGAACAGCAACTTTCATCATCAAATTCGAATTCCCCACAAAATTTCACCCCGGAAGCCACTTTTCTGCGTCTCTAACGCTCAATTTCGGGTGTTTGGGTTACTGTAGCGCCGACTGTGTGCAAACACCGGATCGAAACACCGAACCTGACGACAAAATGCACAAATCGCTCAAAAAAGATCGTTTTGGTGCTGAAAAAAGCTGGGGAATTCGAAAAATGCGGAGGAATTGAATTTTCTGCATTATGTCGTCAGATATGATACATTGTTTCGGTGTTTGCACAGAATCGAAGCTACAGTAATCCAGGTCCTGGAAAATTGATTTTTGGCCCATTTGAAGCTGTAAAAACGGATTTTCAAGCTAATCCAGCTTAATTTCCTGATTTTCACACATTTTTATCGATAAAACAGTCAAAAGTGACCCGAAAATTGATTTTCTCCGGTTCTGGGTTACTGTAGTTAGTTCAGGATGTTGAAAATCTCGATTTTCACACTTTTTATCGCGAAAACGGTCAAAAAATGACCCAAAAATCGATTTTCTCGATCCTGGATTACTGTAGTTTGGGATCTGTGCAAACACCAAATCAATGCACTAGATTTGACGACAAATTGCAGAAAAATTACTTTTCCAGCGGAAAACTCGATTTTTCTGCATTATGTCGTCAAATCTATTCGGTGTTTGCACAGAATCGAAACTACAGTAATCCAAAACCTGGAAAATCGATTTTTGGGTCATTTTGGGCCATTTTAGAGGTTAAAAAGTCGAATTTTCGCGTTTTTAGGTCATTTCTCCCCAATTTTCTTGATTTTTCGCTTCTTTTTCCCCGCATTGCTCATCCCTAAATTTTCCCCCGATTTCCAGAGAGAATGTTGTCCCGAGAACAACTGCAAGACCTAAAAGAGAACTTCCCGACGGTCTCCGAGAGCGGCAGTGGATTTTTGCCGCGGAGCGACGTGCAGACGGCTCTGAAGATACTCGGAATCGATGTGCCCGGCTATAAGGTGGGCAGTTTTGGCTGAAAAAGCGGGATTTTTAGGTCAAAATTTGGCTGAAAATGACCACAAATGCGAAATTTTGACCCTAAATTCATGATTTTCGGCCTAAAATGGTTCATTTTGGGCTTAAAATGATCCGAAATTCATGATTTTCGGCCTAAAATAGTCCAAAATCGACCTAGAAATGCGATTTTTAGGTCCAATTCAGGCTTAAAGTTACTTTAAATTCATGAATTTAGGCTTAAAATGATCCTAAATTTGCTATTTTTCACTCAAAATGACCCGAAATTCATGATTTTTGATCTAAAACAGTCGGAAATCGACCTAAAACTGTGATTTTCGGGTCTAAATTTGGCTGAAAAAGCTCAAAAATGGCCCGAAAATCGTCGAAAAATTGAATAAAATGTCATAAAATGACCCTAAATTTGTGATTTTCTGCCTGAAGTAGTCCAAAAATGGCCTTAAAAAGCCTAAATTTGGCCTAAAATGACCCAATTCTCTCTGTTCCAGATGCGCGAACTGATGGACCAACACTTTGGAAACGAGGCACAAATCGATGTGGACAAGTTCGCGCGGCTGTTCGACACGCTGGACGCGCAGAGGAACGAAGAAGCCAATCGATGGAAGCAGCAGACAAAGTGAGCAGGCTGCAAATGACCCAAAATGAGCCAAAAATCGATTTCTAGAGGCAAAAACGGTCCAGAAAGGCCCAAAAATCGAGAAAAATGTGCTGAAATGACCCAGAAATCGATTTTCTCGGTCCCGGATTACTGTAGTTTGGTTTGTGTGCAAACACCGCGACAATGTACCATATACGACGACAAATTGCAGAAACTTTGAATTTTCAGTGGAAAAATCGAATTTTTTGCATTTCGTCGTCAAATCAAGTGCATTGTTTTGGTATTTGCAGAAAATCGAAGCTACAGTAACCCAAAGTGAAGGAAATCGATTTCTGGCTGATTTTGAGTCATTTTTCGAGTAAAAATGAGCAATTTCGTGGCAAATTCTGCATTTTGTCGTATGATACATTGTTATGGTGTTCGCACAGAATCCAAGCTACAGTAATCCAGAATTGGAAAAATCGATTTTGGAGCCATTTTTGACTTTTATTCACCAACAAGCAGGTTTTTTACAGCCGAAATTGGGCTAAAAAGTGCCAAAAATCAAATTTTGTAGTTTTTGGATTACTGTAGTTTGGATTCTCCTAGCAGATGCATTAGATCTTACGACAAAATGCAGAAAACCCGATTTTTTGCTAAAAAAGCAATTTTTCTGTATTTTGTCGTCAAATCAAGTACATTGTTTCGGTGTTTGCACAGAAGCCAAGCTACAGTAATCCAGAGTGATTTTTTTCGATTTTTCGCGATTTGTAGTGAATTTTGGCTCAAAAGTCTCATTTTTAGCTCAAAAAAGCTGCATTTTGGCTCAGAAATCGCGTAAATTCCGAATTTTGGGCTCAAAAATCCCCAATTTCTTTTGCAGACAAGTCTCCGGCGCCTACCACACGCACTCGTCCAAACAGGAGAACGTGCAGCACACGATTCGAGTGGAAGAAGAGGTGGCCTTCTCGAATTGGATCAATTCCAACCTGTCGGACGATTCTGACCTCAAACGTCTTTTGCCCGTCGGCTCTGGAGAGTTGTACACGAAGATTCAGGATGGGCTCGTCATTTGCAAACTCATCAATTTGGCAGTGCCAGGTGAGCCAGAAAATGGTCAGAACTGACCCAAAAATCATCATTTTGACCCCTGGAATACTGTAGTACCGAAAAATCGCTGAAAATCGAAATTTTCGAGAGAAAAATGAGTCTAATCAGCGAAAATCGATTTTGCAGCTTCTGGATTACTGTAGTTTCGATTCTGCGCAAACACCGAAACACCTGACGACAAAATGCAGAAAATTCAATTTTTCTGAATTTCGTCGTAAAATCTGATACATTGCATCGGCGTTTGCACAGAGTTCAAGCTACA